TGATCCCCAGGTCCTGAGATCGAGCCCCGAGTTGGGCTGCTTGCTATGCGGGGGAGTCTTCTCCCTCTACCTCCCTTGTTTGTGCTCGCACACTCTCTCTCTCTCCCTCTCTCTCTCTCTCTCTCAAATAAATAAATAAAATCTTTTTTCAAACCTATTTTTATTTTAAAAAAACAAAGCCTCTTTCCTTTTTAAACTCCTCTTTTAAAAGTCCAGCATTGAGCAGCCCCCGTGGCACAGCAGTTTGGCGCCGCCTGCAGCCCAGGGTGTGATCCTGGAGACTTGGGATCGAGTCCTGCATCGGGCTCCCTGCATGGAGCCTGCTTCTCCCTCTGCCTGTGTCTCTGCCTCTCTCTCTGCGTGTATGTGTCACTCATGAATAAATAAATAAAATCTTTAAAAATAAAAGTCCAGCATTGATGTACTTCATCATTATTTGTTTTTTCCTCTTTTTTGTTCTCTCCCTATTGCACTAAGATGCAGCACTGCGGGGCCAGAGGTCACCACTGCTTTCTTTCTGAAAGATGGCTTTCCTCCTCTAGCTGCCTCCTCTTGCTCCTGCTGTGACTGATAATATTAATTTGCTGTATGAGAAGCCATGACATTAATCTACTTGCAGAGTAATTGAATGACACAGAAGCTCTTTCCTCTACCCATCTCCTCCCCCATGTCACTAGATCAGTGGATTTAGCCATTAGTTTAAGTATCTCTTAAATGGGGTGATGTGTAAGGTAAGGATTTGTCACAAGAGGTAACAAGTACTTTGGAAACACAAAAGAAACTGCTTGGGTTTATTTGAAAATTCTGTTCATCTCACTTTCACTGCAATATGTAACAGGCAACACTAAGCAGAATTTTAATAGTCCTAGAGAATAAGTTCTCTTCACGTAAAGAAAATGGCAAAAGGTTTAACGAACTTGTATCCAAACCCTATGGGGAGCAGGCGCAACAAATGTAAGCAGGTTACGTGAGCTGCCTAAGCTTGGCTATTCTGTAAAATGGGACTGCTGATGCCTGTGTGATAGAGTTGTAAAGATTGTGGCATGTCGTGTAAAGGTGTACTGATTCACTAAATTGTACTTCTTACTCTGGAGCCCAAATCTAAGGGAGCTGGCAGGGAGCATCTCTTGTTCCTTCAGTGAACAGGGATGGTAAATTTGACACGTTCTTCTATTGGGAAACCACAGGCAAGTAAGCCACTTAGAATATACGAGTATGATTTGTGAATGTCAATTCTCAGGTCATTGAGAAACCAAGCATGCGTTCCTGTTCAAAATTTACCAGCCCTGAACTTCAGAATTGAGCAGGCTTCTGTCACTAGAAGAGTATTATGTGGTATCTGCTTTCTCCTTTAATTTTTTTTGCGGAAGCAATTCTAACAGCAAGGCCCTCTCAGTGGGATCCTTGTCAGTTAGGATTCACTGTGCCAAGCAAAACTTTGTTTTTTTATGACTAGTTAATTCTTAAAACACTATTTAAGATGTCATTGATATTTGAGGGGACACACAGAGGAACTCTTTCCTTGCAAATGTATAGGACTAAGCTAGATGGATATTTTGTTTTGCTTTTGTTTTTAATTCTGTGCTAATTCATGGAGTACCACCAGTGACAATTACATTAATTACAGTTTATGCGTTCTTTTTGTTCTCAGTGGAAGGGCTGTTATACTTTGTTTGGATAGGAAAGAAACTTGGTAATTGAAGTGGGAAACTAAGTTAGGTTTTTAAAAGCTTTATTTCTTTATTTAAAAATTAGCCTTTTAATGTTGACATTATGGTAAAAAAGGGGAAAAGGGCATTGAAACTTTTTTTTACAATAGTTTGGAGAAGATGCATTTCCATGTGTCCATAATCATCATCTCTACCTATGTAGAAGCACTTGGCAGTCTTTTGAGTGAGACCTCAAACTAAGACCCTGACCTTGCTTGGGCTTACTTGCCTTTGTACCATAGAATCAAGGAAAACTCTGCAAGTTGTTTCTTAAATGTTTATGTTTGACTGCCTTGGTGTGGTAGGTGGAATTTCTGTCCTGGGGATGGGTTCTAAGACCCCTGCCCAAAACTCCTGCCAAAACAGGAAGGACAGCATCCATTTGTCTTCTAAGAGTTGCCCCCCTGGCATTCATCTCCCATGCCTAAAATTGGTCCCACCATACCTTGTATAAGGTGTGGTTAGATTTCTAGACAAGAATTAAGAGTTGATTGGGGAAGGGTGTCAAAACAGAATGTTGGCCCATCTCACACAACTGTGTCTTTCATTTTGTTGCAAAGTGTTCCACCTTTGGCCATTAGAAGCACCTTGAGGTTGGCTTCTGTGTTGTTCTGACAAACCCCATTCTTTATAGCATACTTCCTCATATTCTGGTGCTACAAACTGTTCCAGGTTCATGGAGGATTTTTCCTGCTCTGGCCCTTAAGGCAGGGGCCTACCAGGCTGGTGTGCTACCACTGGCTGCTACATCTCAGAAGCACATCTGTGTCTTTCAGAAGACTTCAGAGTTTCTCGCTTGGCCCTTCAATATACTTTTATTCACATTCACTGTCTTTTTATTTTATTTTATTTTATTTTATTTTATTTTATTTATTCATTTTTAAGATTCCATCCATTTATTCATGAGAGAGGCAGAGACATAGGTAGAGGGAGAAGCAGGCTCCCTGTGGGGAGCCCGATATGCGACTCCATCCCAGGACTCCGAGATCACAACCTGAACCAAAGGCAGATGCTCAACCAGTGAGCCACCCAGGTGCTCCTGTCTTTTTATTTATGATTTGAGTCTGTTTCTTGAATTTACAGATTGAAAATTCGTATCACAAAGATATGAAAGTAACAGTAACGCCACCCTGGGGCTCATCCTCACAATTATTCTTTTTTTTTTTTTAATTTTTTTTATTTATCTATGATAGTCACACAGAGAGAGAGAGAGACAGGCAGAGACACAGGCAGAAGGAGAAGCAGGCTCCATGCACCGGGAGCCCGATGTGGGATTCGATCCAGGGTCTCCAGGATCACGCCCTGGGCCAAAGGCAGGCGCCAAACCGCTGCGCCACCCAGGGATCCCCCTCACAATTATTCTTAATAGGACTGTTTTTTCCTTAGTAGTTAAAGCAACTTGAAAACACTTCTGATAGGTAAATTCGCTGTGGGTAAATGTAGGACTTTATTTTATGGATAAAAATAGTGAATCAGTCTATGATAATTCCACCCCTCCTTTTTTTTTTACATTTACTAAAAATAAGAATATCAGTGATACATCGTTAGTAGTAATATAGCCACTAAAAGTCATTTCTGTTTTTCATCTCTTCCTCTTCAGAAACTTATGAGGACTTTTTTTCCTCTCTTTTTTTCAGTGTGGTACTTGTAAAATCAGTTTTCTCTGTCATAGAAAGGAGCTCTTTAATGCTATATAAGGGAGTGTTTAATGTTGCTTTCTAAAGAAACATTTGAAAGGCTATTCCCTTGCATATTTGTACATTCCATTTTAATGTCACTAAAGTGCTTTAGTTTTCTCAAAAGAAGGACATCATTTGAAATACACATTTCCTATAAAAAGAATAAATTGCTGACATTGATTTTTTTTTTTTTTTGAGATAATGGTTTCTATAGACCCATGTTCAGGAAAGCCTAGTAGAAGATTATATTGAGTTATTTGGCCCTAAAAGCTTTGAGTTATAAAAAGAACTAATAGGATCAATAATATTTATACATAGCACATTATCAGAGATGACTGGCTGGAGCTGGAAATTATATTAAGTATTTTATGCCATTGATCACAGAAATGACATTACAGGCAGCCCTCAGCTTCCAGTGACCTGCTCCCCAGCAAGTCACTGACATCTGCAATGTTATGCCCACAATGCCCACCTGTGTCATCACTTGCAGCTTGTCCACGCAGGCCAACTCACAAGCTAACTTCTCTGAATCAACCTGCTGCTTAGGGAGGAGCTTTTGTTTCCTAGTCTGTCTCTACCAACTGATCCCCTTCTCCATACACCGTGGAGTCTCTAAACTCCTAAATGGCAAGGGTTTTTGTTTTTGTCTTTATTCCTAAATAAGCCGTGGGGTGGAGGCAGGAGAGGAGTCTCTGGGGAAAACCAGGAGGCATCACAGAAAGGGGTAGAGGTGGGGGACAAATGTTAGCTAACTCTTTCTACAAAGGGCCAAATAGTAAACATTTTAGACTTTAGGGTCTGCTGGAGCCTCCTGTCGGCTGTTGTAGCAGCCCCACACGGTGTGTAGATGAGTTGGCTTGGCTGTGTTGCCAGTAAATGTTATTTATAAAAAGTAGGCAGAGGGCCTACTGCCCATAGTTTGCCAACCTCTGCATATTACAAGGTTAACATATCCCTAAGAAACTGGCTCTGAGATATTCCAGAAGAGAAGTCCTTAAAATATTTTGAGCAGTAGAGAATAATTTAATAAATACATAGTTTCTCAGAGGAACTGAGCTTAGCACCCATTTTGATATTAAAAGTTGGCATCCAGGGGCACCTGGGTGGCTGAGTTAGTAGAGCATGCAACTCTCGATCTCAGATTCATGAGTTCATAGTATCAAGTAGATTTTGAGTCTCACACATTCATTTCTTAAAAATTGCTAGAAAAAGAGGTGGTGGATCATCAGCCTCTGTTATAAAGCAAAAGCCAGCACTCATAATTAGCAGAGAGGGGCTGTGGGTGGCCATTTTATAGCCCTCCTATGGGGGAAGTGGAGCCCAGAGCAGGGTGGTACAGAAAGCCTGGTGTCCAGTCCCTGCACGCTGCATCAGAGCGCCTGGCCCTGGGGTTGGCTCAGGGCTGTGTGAGAGTGACTAGAATTTCAGATGTGTGTGTATTTGGCAGTCACCTGCATAAAATGAAATATTATCTTGTTATAATGATTCTGATGATTCACTATGATGTTTTTTTCTGTAGGAGGTGGATAAACCTAACAGAAACTGTAACAGAAATGCAAGTGCCTGTTGAATAGAACTGAATAAAACATTCCTTGTGAATTATCTTGGACAGGTTGTCCCTGCTGAAGGATTGGTCTCTATATTGAAGAAGAGGAATGAGAGTGGAGGAGACCATCCTGCCCAAATGCAGCAGAAACCATCGAAGCGAAGAGTAAGGTTCCAGGAGATCGATGATGACTTAGATCAAGGTAAAGCACCCTGGGGCCCTGTGTAGCATGGAGCTGCTTCTCGGGGTCGGCTGAGAGTGGGTCTGGACCTGGAAAGATATCTGGTAATGGAGTTTGTAAAAGAACATGTATGCTCACTTGCTTTATATTCCACAAAGAAATACATAGAATCAAATGATCATCAGCTCTTCCGTTTTTCCTGAGCATTTTGTTCAAATAAATGAGCAAGCTGTAAAATTCAACTCCTGGCCTCCCTGTCTCACAGAAGGTATGCTGGAAGCTCATTTCAATGTCCTGTTTAATACTTGTTTTTTTTTTGTTGTTGTTGTTGTTTAAGTGAGCCTGCTACCTTTTTTTTTTTTTTAAGATTTTAATTATTTATGAGAGACAGAGAGAAAAAGGGGGGGGGCAGAGACACAGGCAGAGGGAGAAGCAGGCTCCATGCAGGAAGCCCCATGTGGGACTCGATTCCAGGTCTCCAGGATCAGGCCCTGGGCTGAAGGTGGCGCTAAACCGCTGAGCCACCTGGGCTGCCCCCCGGTTTTTTGTTTTTTGGTTGTTTTTTTTTTTTTTTTTTTTTTTAAGTGGCATTTAATACTCCTTTGTAAGTCTGAGAAGTATTTATGGATTACAAGGATATTCTCTGTGGTGATTTCTTCCTGACTCTACAGAAGGTGGCTCTTCAGAGCAGCACTGTGACACTGTTGCTCATGTTTGGCACTCCCCTTCTAGGCCTGTCTGCATTGGTTGCTAGGTTTACTGAAGGCCTAGGTCACTAAGGGTGAGAGGAAATACAGCCAAGAGCTTTTCGACTGTTTCTCAAGTTTGTAAAACAGCTGCATTGTTAAAATAACAGTGTAAACGTGGCTCTGCTTTCTAAAGTGATAGCAGTAGAGGTTTCTAAATTTTTATAGTAGAAAGCTTCTAATTTAGAGTAATAAAGGAGCCTTGGTAATAATCTATTCCCATCCCTCCTTTTACCTCTGCACCTTGCAGACTTTCCCAGTCTTCTCCAGAGAGAGTGCTCCATTCTCTGCACAATGGCACTGAATCCTTGCTTCCCAGAGGAGCCCTGGATTTACAAATGACGTTCCTACATACTTAGTAGCCATCACGTCTTTGACCTGGTTACTTAGTGTATGTTCTGCAGCCACTTGGGCCTCTCAGCCTCCAGATTGGCCGAACAGCTCTAAACAGTATCAACACCTGTTGATAAAACAAGATCGATTTTTAAAAATAAAGTGTTTAAATGTTAACATATAAATATATGATTATGAAGAAAAATGTGGAAAGCTACATGCACTAGATTGTTAACATAGATGAGGGAGTGGGAGTGCATAATGCCAAAAAACAGAAAAGAGGGTCAAAAAAACTGAACTGACCAAAAAAACCAAAAAAAACCCAGAGATATATTATTAATGACATTATATTCATTTGTAGAAAAATATATTTGCACATATAAATTATTAAACCTATTGATTATTACAATTTATTAAACTATAAATTTGTAAATCACAGAACAATACAATTACATAATCCTATTTACCTAAGAATCCTGAAACCTGTGTCTCTGATCTGGAAGGATATGCACTAGATTTGAGTGTTTGCTTCTGGGGTGGGAGGGGAATATGCTTTAGTAGGAGAAAAACAGAGAATCCCTTAGATTCTTAGATGTTTTTGCTTTTGAATTTTTATTTTTTTTAATTTTTTTAGCTTTTTTAAGATTTTATTTATTTATTCATGGAGACACAGAGAGAGAGAGAGGCAGAGACACAGGCAGAGGGAGAAGCAGGCCCCATGCAGGTAACCTGATGCGGGACTCGATCCTGGGACTCCAGGATCATGCCCTGGGCCGAAGACAGACACTAAACCGCTAAGCCACCGAGGGATCCCCGCGTTTGAATTTATACATTTTATAATTTATGAATTTATGAATTTATGAATTTATTTTTGAATTTATGAATTTATAATTTATGGGATCCCTGGGTGGCGCAGCGGTTTGGCGCCTGCCTTTGGCCCAGGGCGCGATCCTGGAGACCCGGGATCGAATCCCACGTCAGGCTCCCGGTGCATGGAGCCTGCTTCTCCCTCTGCCTGTGTCTCTGCCTCTCTCTCTCTCTCTCTCTGTATGACTATCGTAAATAAATAAAAAAAAATAAAATAGGATTTAAAAAAAAAAAAAGAAAAAGAAAAATATGTTCACTTATTACTGGAAAATCTTCCAAATAAAGTCCATTTTGTTTATATTACATTTTGTAAAATGTGGGGATTTTAACATAAAAGTAATAAATGCTAATCATGGAAAACTCATGGAGTAATGGGGCACCTGGGTGGTCCAGTCTGACTCTTGGTTTTGGCTCAGGTCATGATCTTGGAGTCACAGGACCCAGCCCCATATCAGGCTCCATGCTCAGTGGGAAATCTGCTGGAGATTCTCTCTTTCCCTTTCTCTCTGCCCCTCTCCCCCACCTTGGACATGTGTGCTCTTTTTCTTTGTCTTTTAAAAATAAATAAAATCTAAAAAATACCCCACAAACTCATGCAGTAATGAAGTAAAACAGTATCAAGTCTAACAACCTTCCCTTGAGGGTTTCCCCGAAGTACTAATTAAAGTTTCCCCCAAGTACTAATTGAAGTTACCATCTTTTCAAGACACATTGTGTGTATATGAGCGCACATGTGCATATGCACACTGACACATATGGCTTTTGTTTTAACACAGATGTGTTCGTTATATATTGTTAGGTCACTTCTTTTTCATTTAACCATCAATCTTGGCTATCTTCCTATAAGAGAATACATTAAATTTTCTTCATTCTATTAAATAATTACATGTTATTTCATAACACGATTGTCCCACAATTATTTAACTGTTCCATTGTAACTGGAATAACTGAGTTATTCTCGACTTTTTGTTCTAACAAACTTTGCTACAGTGAACATGCCCATAAATACACTAGTATGCATTGTGCAAATATATAGGCTGATTCTTGGGAGTGAATTTGTTGGACTAAGTGATAGGGTCCAGCTGCCCTGAGGTGGTCCTGGTTTACAACTGTCATCCCAGCTTTGTTCCCCATCTCTCTCGTTCTCAAACATGTCCTGGCCAGGAGGATAGATAAATTTAAAGTTTTAATAGATACTGCCAAATCACCTTCCAAGAAGGTTCTGGTACATTCTCATCATGCTGATCATAAAACTTTTTAGTCTTTTTCCAAATTTGAAATGTTTTTCTTAATTATGAATGATCATTGAGACTTTCCAACCGAAGAATAGCTATCTTCTTAATACAGAGAGCTGATACATTTTTATTAAAAACAGTCCTGCCTGTTATTAAGAAAAATCACTGAACTAGCGAAAACATTTCTGTTCCACTAAAGTATAAGAGTAAAATTGAGTAGGGGAGTAGGGACACCTCGGGGCTCAGTTGGGTAAGTGTCTGCCTTTGGCTCAGGTGATGATCTCAGGGTCCTGAGATGGAGTCACCTGTGGCAACTACTAGGTGCCACTCATGCAGTTGTCAGGTACACTAGCTTTCCATCAGCAACCCCAGCCACTGGAGGACTCTGGTTAACTAGAAATATCTACTTCCTGTGGTCAGTGAGAAGACAGCAGATGCCAGGATTTCCATTTTTGCCTCAACTTAACCTTTCTCTGTTCTCATGTTTGCAGATGAAGTTGGAGGTGGTTCCTGTATTTTACTGGTCTTGCTGTGCATAGTGACGGTGTTCCTCAGTGTTGGGGGAACTGCATTGTACTGCACTTTCGGTGACATGGAGTCCCCCATGTGTACAGACTTTGCAGACAACGTGGACTTCTATTACACCAAGTTACTGCAGGGAATGGCAGAACTGAAACACTGGATCTACCTCTCCTAGCAGCACGCAAGAGGCACAGACATGCTGGCAGTGAAAAAGAGTGAAACTTTCCAAACAGCTTTTATTTCAGGAGTTCTGTAACATGCGTCCCTCCCCCAGTGAAGAGCCCTGACCATCCAGAAATGGCAGCTTTAAATGGTAATCCTGAGGAGCTCTCAGAGTAATCCACATACTGAGGCAGATGTCCGTTTGAGCATCGTGGATGGGAGGAATGGTCTTTGGAGGGCACGTCCCCTGCTCTGTGCTGCTTCCTAGTGTAGTGAGCTAACCTGAGCAGAGTTCAAGGGCACTGTTGCAGCCGCATCATTTTTAGCTGCCTTGTCAAGCTAATAGTTAAAGGACACTTGGTTTACATTTGTTAGTCCAAAGACATTGCTTCCAGCCATCACGCAATAAGTTTGTGTATAATCAAAAGGAGTTACCTTACAGTTTCATTGTCTTTTTTTTTTTTTTTTTTTTTTTTTTTTTTTAGTTAACCTTGGGAGCTGTGTAATTTAGGCTTTTTTTTGTGCATTATTTCCAGATTCCATTTTCCATTTGTGAAATGATTGTGTGTGTGCACACACACGAGCATGTGTGCACACACACATGCATGCATGTCTGTTTCAAATGGTTATCATAAGCAGATACCCGACACAGAGTAACAAAGATGATCTTTATTTGAACCTGACTGTAGATGTGCAGGCACAAATACAAGGCTTAACTGTGGAACAGATGAATGGTAGAAATCTTGGCCCTGAAATCAGACAGTGTGGTAGATCTGTGACAATTAATTTGATTAACTAGACAGAAATTAATCACAGGCCTAGAAGTAAAGAGGAAAAAGTAAAGAGGAAAATGTAAAGAGCTTCCTCTCAGTCTGAGCACGCCACTTCATTGTGGATACAGTGCTTCCTGGGGTATGATGAATGCTGGACTCACTTCTCAGGACATGAACACCTATTTATTATGCTTTGAAAATATAAGAACCAGAATACAAAGATAAGATGTTAGTTCCTGCTCTAAATGTTTTAATTCTGGTCTTATGTAAAATAAACTTCTACTTTCACAAATGCAATTAAATCACAATATATAATTCAGTATTAACAAATCACGCGTTCAGATGTTTGAATGTGCATTCATATCATGGGTTTGATTTAGACCTCTTATGGGGTCATGAAGCTAAAATTCAATCAATCATATCTTAAATAAGTGTCAGATTTTTGTTTAAATGTGTCAGTTCAGTGGCATTTCCTTTTCTAAGGTATAGTCTAACATTTAGAAAGCCTTGCTTTGGCTTTTTATAGCATAGGCAGCATTTGAACAGAAACAGGACACATGAATTCTAGTTTTTTAGCAAATGATCATCGTTTTGTATTTTTTGTTTAGATCATTTGAAAGAAAAAGGGAGAAATTACTTTCTAGTTGTTACTGGCAGGTACAGTAGCTCCCTGTGTGTTTCTGCTTATTTATTTCAATCATGTGAATTTTAAAGGGCTTTTTATATAAGTTGGAAGTGTGTTGTTGAGCATGCATTCGGTTATCCCAATGCTACATATTTAATTGTTATGTACTTAGTGTTTTGATTTTCTATAATTTCAGTTCAGTGTATTTTTAGGCTTGTTAATTTTTGAGTTGATGTTTTATTTACACTTATAACACTGACCTATCTCTTTCATGTCACCATAAACTGTAATATTTTCAAGAATTATAGATCAAAGATATTTATTTAGAAGTGTACAAGATACTGAAATTTAGATTCCTTATACTTAAGGCTGATTTTATTAGAGGATTATTTTAATGTTCTATAATAAATTTTAAGAATTTGTATTCAGATTGTATGTAAAATATGTAAAATGTTGATGGTACTATCTTATGTGGTTCTATAAAAGACATTCACAAAGTCTGCTGTGAGGGGTATCCCCATCATAGATGAACCTTTTCTGTTTAACCCTCGTGATTTCTAGTTACAGGAATTTGGTGGTGGTGATTTCTGCCAATTTTATGTCAAGATAAATCAGAATTTCCCTCCTGTTCACCTCTTTTAGGTCACTGTCAAAGTCCTAAATAATCTCTAGTGTCATATTTGTCTAAAGGCTGCCAGGGCCACTGCCTCTGAAACCGAAGCTCTCACCCCAAGGCATAAGGACTGAGATCTCCTACCTGGTTCTCTGGGCCCAGCTGAGTATCAGAGAGGCCATGTGTGTACTCACCACTTCCCGGGGAGGGCAAGGTGAGCTCAGGAGCTAATTGATATCTTGACTTAAAATAAGCATGAAATGTCAACTAGAAAAATTAGGGCAACTTTAAAAAAATGTAATAGTCATTTATTGCATGAATTGGATTAATTCCATCTGGTGATAAAAAAGAAAATTGTTATCTCATGCATAAAAAATTCATTCCAGTTTTACTACAATGTAATCTTTTTCTGCCATTTGAAAGTACTGACAACTATTTGTAACTAATCTTCCTTAAAAACTGTATTTGAGGGTAACAGATCAAGCTTGTAATTTAAAATTACACCAACAAGTGTCTCGGAGAATTTATTTGAACCCTGGGGTGCTGAGAAAAGCCTTAAAGTGACAGTAAAATGCTTTGAGAAGTTGGTCTGGCCCCACATGGGCATCTATTTTGGGAAGTCTAAGAGATCCCTACACAAAAGGTCTTCTGGTTCTAAAACATGTCCTTATCTGACTGACCCAGTAACTGAAATTTACTCTAAAAACTCATTCCTTCTGATTTAAAAATGACAAGTGTGAATTGGGGCCTGCTGGGGTGGCAGGGTGCTGAAGGAGTAGGAATTGAGACATAAAAGCAGGAAGGTGGAAAAAGAACAAAGACAGCCTTTGGCCACTCACCTGCTTTGCTGAGGCTGGTTTTGTGGCATTTACCCTCAGTTTTTGCCTTCCCAGTAAAGGGATCTGTATAATTTCCTTTGATTTCCGTGGGTTTAAATAATATTAATGCACCCTTGTACACTTCATGTGCAGTGTATATAGTTTTCACATTTACTCATTTGATGCTTCCATTAGTAACCACACATCTCTAAGCAAAGGTTTTTATCTCCCAAATCCAGCCTGCTTTCCATTGTCATGTTGCCTCCACCCCCAAAAAGAATGAAAGTGATCTAGGGTTGACGGCATAAATTCTAGTGCCATCTGCTGCCTTAATGACCTCAGAGATCAACATTTATTGAGCCTTGTGTACTAGCCCTGTGAAAGATACAGGAAGCTAAAAATTTCCAAGGATTCGAGGACAATTTAAATCTTTCTGGGTTTAGGGTGCTGAAATAAAAGGTATTTCTTCTCCCTGGTTCAAACAAGAGCAAATCCTAAACTCAAATTTTTGCCTATTGCCCTGACATGAGTGCAGATCCATGAGCAGTGTCAATCACGTCAATCACCAGCGTGGAAACTCGACAAATGTGTGTGTGTCTGTAGTGTGCCTAGAGCTGAGCTGGCTGCTGGAGCTCCAGAAACGAGAAATCCTATTAGCTTAAAATTAGTGTCTGATGAGGCACATGCATTTGTGAAGGAGGAATCAAAATGAGGAAATTGAGACTCATGCTCCCCATGGGAATAGAAACTTGAGTTCATTCTTTCCTACCAGGTGTCATGCACTATAAGGAATAAAATTCTAGGGACGCCTGGGTGGCTCAGGTGGTTAAGTGTCTGCCTTCAGCTCAGGTCATGATCCCAGGGTCCTGGGATCAAGCCCTGTGTTGGGCTCCCTGCTCAGTGGGGAGTCTGCTTCTCCGTCTCCCTTTGCCCCTTCCCCTGCTCATGCTCACATGTGCACAGACACACTCTCTCTCAAATAAATAAAATAAATAAATAAAATTATTTTTTAAAAAGTAAATCTAGGCTTCTTGCATAACACCGTGATAGGAATGTTTTCTCATAACCTAAGTTGTACTTAGTACTTTTCACTTCCATTTGTGGCATTAATAGCTGGTGGGCTTTTCAGCAGTGGAAAGCTTCAGTAAGAGCCTTCTTCAAAATTGAAAGCCTCAATAGCCCCAAACAGCACAAGTGAAAACCACAAAACTCCAGGTCCAGATGCTTCCTTAATAAATTCTATCATTTAAGTGAGAAATCCTATCCATCCTACAAAATACCTCAAAAATGAGAGTGTACTTGCCAGTTTGTTTCAAGGGACCAGTATTAACTCTGAAACCAAAACCAAACAAGACAATAAGAAAAGATACCTAAAGACCAATATCACTCATGACTTAGCCTAATAAATATAGTAGATCCAATCTAACAATATACACACGAGGTAATACAGTATCATGACCAATTGAGATTAATCCCAGGAGTAAGTATAATGTTTTCACATTCAAAAATCACTCAATATAATTCACCATTTTAATAAGAAAACCATATTAACATACCAATAAATGCATACAATTCATACACCATTCATGATAAAAACTCTGATCAAAGTAGGACTTCCTTAACTTGATCAAGGGCATTTCTGAAAAACCTGCAGCTAATATTAAATACCTAATTGGAAAAAAGACAAATGCTTCTCTTCCTCAGGTCAGCAACAAGGCAAAAATGTGCACTCTGACCACTTCTATTCAATGTTGTACCAGATGACCTATGACAAGGCAAGAAATAAAAGGCATACCAATTAGAAAGGACGAAATAAAATGTTTTGCCAATGACATGATTGTTTATCCAGAAAATCCTAAGGAATCTGTAAAATGCTATTAGAATAAGCAAGGTTAGGAAATTCACAGGATACAAGGTCAATATACAAAAAAATCAATAGTATTTCTGGGTATTAGCAATGAACCACTGGAACATGAAATTAAAAATTGTAAAAAAGTCACCAAAGACATGAAGGACTCAAATTTAACAAAATGTGTGCAAAACCTGTGCAATGGAAACTATAAGCCACTGCTGAAAGAAGGATCCCTAAATAAATGAGGAGACACCATCTGCTCGTGGAGTAGAAGATTTTGTGTTGTGAAGATGTCAGTTCCCTCCAGATAGATCTGCAGACCTGACACCACCTCGAAGTCCCAGCAGTGTCTACAAATGGACAGGCCAATTTTAAAATTTGTGCAAGGATGCAGATGACTTCGAATATAAACAGTGAGGGGCACCTAGGTGGCACAGTCAGTTAGGCACCAGACTCAGGTCATGATCTCAAAGTCATGAGATCAAGCCCCACATCAGGCTCTGTACTCTGTGCTCACTACAGAGTCTACTTGAGATTCTCTTTACCTCTCCCTCTGCCCCATCCCTTGCATTATCTCACTCTATCTCTCTCAAATAAATAAATCTTAAAAAAAAAAGAAGAAGAAGAAGAAGAAGATAGCCAATGAAACCATGAGAACAAAATGGCAGGACATGTGCATCTTGATTTCAAAACTGAATGTCACAGTAATCAAACTGGCGTGGCAAGAAGACTGTCCAGACATGCATCTGCATGGACACTAGTGATCCTCTACAAAGGCTCCAAGGTAATTCAGTGGGGCAAAGAGAAGTCTTCAGCAGGTAATGCTGAAACAACTGCATATTGGAGTAAAATACCTTTACTTAGACCTTTACTTCACACATAAAAATTAACTAGAAATAAATGGATCCAAAGGCAAAGGATGAAACTTCAAAAAGAAAACAAAATCTCTGCAACCTTTGGGTAAGGAAAGGTTTCTTAGAACATAACATACAAACTATAAGAGAAAAACAATGTATTAACTGAACTTTAAAAACTTGTACTCTTTGGGGGCACCTGGCTGGCCCAAATGGTAGAGCATGCGGCTCTTGATCTCAGGGTTGTGAGTTCGGGCCCCTGATTGGGTGTACAGATTCCTTAAAGTCTTTAATAAATAAATAAGTAAATAAAAACTTGTACTCTTTGAATCACATAGTTAGGAAAAAGCAAGCTGAAGAACAGAAAAAGTATTCGCCAATAACTTTGTCTGCAAAAGGCCTTGTATTCAGAATATGTGAAGATCATACAACTTGTATTTTGTCATACAAAATAATGACAAACAATCCAGTTAAAGATCTTTGGACACCTTTTATAAAAGAAAATACACCAATGGCTAATAAGCACATGAAAAGATGCTGAATATCATTAGTCATCAAGAAAATTCAAATTGGAACAATGAGAAACCTGCTAGAATGATTAAAATTACAAACAATGACAAAGCCCCACGGAATGCAAGGGTCATTTGGCAAAAGAAAATCAATGTAATGATGCCATTAATAGAACAAGGGGGGGGGGACAAGATTACCTAAACTGATGCAGAAAAGGCATTTGACAAAAATCCACCATACCTTTATGATAAAAACTCTCAATAGCCTAGGAATAGAAGGGAACTTCTTCAATATGATAAAGGGGATTTACCAAAAAACAGAAAACCCACAGCTATTATGGTGAGATAATGGAAGCATTGTACTTTCACCACTGCTATTCAATATGCTACTGGAAGTTCTAGGCAGAATTAGACAAAAAAATAAAAGGCATCCAAATTGAAAAATGTGTAAAACTATTTGCAGATGACTATACATAAGATACATATAATCCAAAAAAATCCACAAGAAAGTTACCGGAGCTAATAAATGAATTCATCAAAGTTACTGGATCCAAGATCAACACACAAAAATCAATTGTTTTTAAATACCAGCAGTTAAAATTCCAGAAGGGCAATTAAGAAGGTAATTTCATTTATAAAGTAATCTAAAAGAAGAAGAATAAAAAATCTAAAAGAATAAAATACATAGGAATGAATTGAGTCAAGGAAGAGAAGACTTGCACACTGAAACTACTAATCACTGAAAGACTTAAAGAATATTAAATAAATGTAATGTTATCCTGTGTTCATGGATAGGAAGACCATACGTATTAAGATGTCTATACACTTAAACAATCTACAGATTCACTGCAATCCCCATCAAAATTCCCATGGCCTTTGTTTGAGCAGAATTGGAAAAGCTTAAGTACCAAATTTATATGGCATTGCAAAGAGACCCAAATACCCAAAAGAGTCTTGAAAACAGAAAGAAAACTGGAAGATTCACATTTCTCAACTCCATATTACAAAGCTACAATAATTTAAAAAAGTATGATATCCGGGGGATCCCTGGGTGGCTCAGCAGTTTGGTGCCTGCCTTCGGCCCAGGGTATGATCCTAGAGTCCCAGATCAAGTCCCACATTGGGCTCCCCGCATGGAGCCTGCTTCTCCCTCTGCCTATGTCTCTGCTTCTTTCTCTGTATCTCTCATAAATAAATATAAATAAATAAATAAATAAATAAATAAATAAAGCCTTTTAAAAAAAAGTATGATATCGGCATAAGGATAAACATATAGACAAAAGGAGTCAAATTGAGAGTTGGGAAGTAGGCCCAAACATCTTTGGCCAATTGATTTTTTTCTTTTTTTCTTTTTTTCTTTCTTTTTTTTTTCATGGCCAATTGATTTTTGATGTCAAGAATGTCAAGTTCATTCAAGGGTGAAAGAATACTCTCTTCAACTGATGGTTGTTCTGGGATCACTGGGTTT